GATACTAAACAGATTATTTAGTAGAGGAAAATTTCATCCGAGCATGACACTTAACAGCATTGGCCATGCCGTAACACGTTCGGAAGGCTGTGAATATGGACTGGAGGGTAGGCGACCCGCGTCTGTCCACTAACACGAAATGGAGCGGTCCCGGTGATCGAAACCCTTATATTTTGGTTACAGCATAGGATACTTTGTTAATCGAGCTTAGTGACAATAGTCACCGGCGCATTGTCACTGTCGCCGGGTTTGCACTCAGCCCCTGGTCAAGAGAGGAAGAAGACATTGGCAACTTGTCTGATCTGGGCTGGGCTTTCTACAAAGCAAGCTCGTGTTCCTACATGCCAATGCCACAGTGAGGCGTCCTCCGATGACTCCCCCCCATACAAGTGAAGAAGGGTTTGAAAAAAATTTGGTTTTGAAGAAGGGTATGTAGAATAACTGGGTTTTGAAGAATGGTCTGCTTATGACACTTAATACTTCGTAGTACAAGAGGATGGGCAAGTAGATATTCCATACCATGGAGTCATGGCCTAGTGTTTTCTAAGGTTCGGATAAGAGAGCTATACTTGCTGGTAGCCAAGCCAGCAGTCAGATAGGAAAGGGGATTACTTTGCATACATGCAGACAAACGACAGCAAACAGGCAACAAGACAGCATAGCGGGTAGTCAGGTAAGCTGGCGAACAGAGGTGGATAAATAGACATGTGGGTTGACTACACTTTTCGTTTATATGTGGCTTTTCAAAACTAATAGCGGGTCATGAATATGAAATATAGTCACCCTATTTCGTTTAAAGTAATGAAGAACTTCTGGGAGAATTTTCCCACAATGATATGAATTGACATTACGCTTGCATTGAATTTCACATAGCTTTGCTTGCCCTAAAGTTAGCCTCTTCCCGGCTCCACTGCAGTTTCACATTTGTAAAAGTCCCCTCAGCAGCCCCAACGGAACTCGAATTGTGATAGTGCAGCTCTACTTGCTGCTAGTTGAGCCATCAGTCAGATAGGAACACACACATGCGGACGAACGAGACAACACGACGGGTAGTCAGGTCAGCTGACGAACAGCGATGGAGAAATAGGCATATTGACTGGTAGATAAACTGAGTTGACTACAGTCCATCAATTCAGCATGAATTGCATTGTTAAGTTGTGCCATCGATAAAAGATGAGGTTTTTTAGGTCTCGTACTTTCCGAGGGTTCATCTCGCATCGGAAACTCGTCTTTCTCGCTGGTGACGACAGAGCTCCTTAAGGTTTTTAAACGAGACCTACCTTTTACCCCTCGGCCTGCTGGGCACACTCCGTCGGGGCTAATCTTACCAAACCATCGGAGCCCTACGGTCTCTAAATGACCCTTGATTGATGCCATATTGCAACCTGTCAAAACATTTTATTCTCAAACTGACAAGTATCAACCCGATACTTGCCTAAATTAATATGAAAGTGCACATGCAATATATATATATATATATATATTTACATTTGTATCCGCCATTCGCATACATACAGACGTACTTTATGTGTATATATGTGTGTGAAAAAGCACATATCTATGTGTGCCAATGGAAGATATAAATGTACAAATATAGATAATCACATCAACAGATAGGTAGACAAACTAATACAAGTATAGAAAAGTATATATGCCTTTAAACATACAACATGTGTATGTATAAATAGTATATATATATATATTTGTGTATATGTGTGTGTGTGTATTTCTGTGTATGAATGTATGGAACTTTTTGAGTAGATGGTATCTTTCCAAATCTGTAAAGCTACCTACCCCGAGTAGAGGGGTAATTGTGCTTAATCAATATGCAAAAGAGCATTCGAGTCTGCCGATATGCAAGCGAGCTGGTATTGCCGTTAATGAAGGTGCAAGTAGAGATGGGCAGTAGGATGTGCGACAGTGCCTGTGCGACGTCTGCCTGATGTGGCAAGCGTGCCGACAATTTGGCCGTCTTAGTGCGGTCCATGCAACGACCGGACCAGCTGTAGTAGGTTGAGATGAGTCATGAAAGTAAACAAGTTGAGACACACACACACACACACACAGGCATAAATAAGCACAAATGCGGGCAGACATGTATCAGAGCTCCGGTTCAGGCAAGGGTCAAACGGACCAGCAAGGGTCGATGATAGAAGAGAGTTTACAAGTCGTAGCCAGGTGCCGATGGAAAGGGTGGTGAGGTAGAAATGAGAGCTGGGATGCCGAAGTAAGAGGGGCAGGAAAGGAAAAGAGACAACTCCACGAGTTGAATCATAAAACGACACATCATAAAGAGGCGGGGGTTGCCATCACGACATGGACCTCCGATACCAATGCTTTTAATGGAGCTCTACGACATGTTGTATGCCCCATAGGCTAGTGACTGAGGCAAAGAGGAGGCTGAGAGGATCCAGTTGGCATGGCTGAGGCAGCAAGATGCAGAGTGGAGCCAGTCAAGGAACCGGCAGTAGCCCAATGGAGGCCGGCACTGGGTTGACGCCGACCCACTGGATGGGCCAATGGCATGTCTGACAGCTTCGAAGTGGGAATGAATCAACGAGAATTGGTATCATGTCATTTTTGTGTTGTCGGCGGGACTTCGAAGAATGTACCCAGTCCTTTCTCGTCTCAGATGATGGCTATGACAATCTATAGCGTCGGACAGTTGACTTGTCCACACTTACAGACGAATCACCGGCATGATGAGTAAAATAAGGTAGTCTTAAAATCGAGTTACATCCGGACGATCCTTTTGAATGATGTTCTGTTCAACCGTTTTGGTATCTCTCCACCAACTGCAACTCTTAATCCTACTTCATATGATCAATCTGCCTATCTACATCTCTGTATTTTCGATTGGTTCCAAGGGTCTCACTTCAAGTAGATGACTAACATTCATAGAAAGTAGGCTTCGAGACAATCAGTAACTCTTGAATTAAGGCTTAAGTCACCCCAGGTCGAATGAGATGAAAGACGGATAATTGGATGCTCCCACCTTCACATGAGTAGACCTCATGTTTCAATTGAATTTTTTACTTGATTTTGCATCAAAACATGTATTTTCATCCATGCAGTTTCGACCTCGTCTGGACTTCATCAGCACCTCAGCGGGACTCGAATTCTGATAAAAAATGTGTATAATCTCGATATATTCGCATTACCACACAATGCCACGAGTGCCTCTGGGTCACGGAGCAGATGCTAATTTCGAGAAAGGTCAGGCTTTTGCTATATCCTACTTATAAT